ATTGACGGCAAAGCTTGCATCATGGAACTTAATCCGCCATTTATCATATAGATGGCATATTCTTTTAAAATAGTGATGGTTGGAAGATAACATTGAACCTCTCGTTGGAATGAAATAAAAAATTATTAACTCTCCGATTCCGAATCATTTACATATGAACTGTTTAAGATAAAGAGGTTTGAGTCAACAAAGGGCTGGAGCAGGAGATTGTACGCTACCTCATTGCAAATCGGAAGTTACTTATAATGGAGTTAAAGTTATTGTTTACAGGAATGCCAATTGTGAATAAAATCTGCTCATAATTGCATTAGTAAAATTAAGTATTAACCTGACCATGTTTTCCAGTGAGATCCCTGCCGCGACCAGGGCACACGCTGACAAGAATGACATCATTAATGCAAAAATGAGCTATGGCTGAAATAATTATTGTGAGATTTGATTTCGTTGTAGTTTGGGAATTTGTGGTGTCTGATTTATGTTAAATAATTTAGCAGCCCAATATTAAATTGTGAGCTCTAAATTGTCGAGTGCAACGCGTCTTCGTAGCTAGTTTACCGCCCTTATATAGCTCTTCTTTCGAGCCGAAATGGATTCTCACAATGGCAAAATTTAACTTTACAAACGACATTTATAAATTCGATGGTCAACTCCTGGGAAGTGTGAAAATATAAGTGAAGTAAGGAAAATAATTAGCGTAAATCAGTTTTGTATGGTTGACGACTGACTAATTATTTTTGTACATCAAGATCTTTTGTACTCAGATCAAGCAGATTTTATCGTGTTGTGAACACAGGAATCGCGAACTGAGGTCTGGTAAATCGTGCATATCAATTCAAGATTCAACAATTATCTCAACCATGACAGATTTGTCAAGGCGTATGTATGATTATTTGGTCATGTGTGTATGGATGAGAGCTGCAACAAACGACTTGCCGTAGGACCACATGATAGTTTAATTGTACGAGTTCAAACCGTAGACTTTAAAATCCAATTTCATTCGCATGTTTCTTCGTCTAATGAGAAAAAGTAACGAATCATATTTTCTATGATTCTGATTCACAACATCAAATCCTATTAAGGATTGAATGGAACTGTAAATTTTTAAACTCGCTCAGGAAATCACTGAATGGTTGGGCACCCACCATCAAGAAGAAATTGCTCGGTGGTTGACGATGGGAGTCTTTTCGTTGACGTTAAACTGAAAGACTATTACACGGGAGTCTTTCATATTACCTTATTTACGTGGTAGAAAGTATTGAATTAGAAATTCAGCAGATGTATTTACATTTCTCACTTTAGATTGGTCACACAATTTTCTACATTATCTTCCTCGGTGGAGTGGAAGACTTACCAGCACGCTGCTGAGACACGACGGGCGACGACGGAGGCCTCAGTGTGGCCTTAATTATAGACAGCAACGTAAGAGTTCATTCAGTGAAACAAGGCTTAACAGCAGAAAGGTGAAACTTTTTAAAATAAATCATAAAGCTCTATCGTTACACTTTGTTGTCAGAAATTAGTCCCAATTCATCGCTCAAATGAATTCCACCGACTACGGCGCCATCTTCTCAACTGCGCACCATATCATAAAACTCTACCAAATATATTACAAATAATTTCAACGATTGTCGCTCGTCCAATGAGTTATTTTCCTGTCTTGCTGTAGTAAGTGAAGGTTAATTCGTGTGATGAATGGAACAATAGGCTCACAAAACGTCGAAATAGAAGTATGCAAATGTACGGCCTTTACTGACTTTCATTATTTTGTGAAATCAGCTGGATAATTGACTGCCGTAGCATTGGGAGGAGGATATACTGGTACTGACTGACGTCTATTTCGTGAACGATGTTGGGCTGATCTAAGTTATTGTACCACACATCATACGCGTAGTGATGATGGTGACCAAGATGCTGAACTGACATATACTCATTGTAGATAAATACTGATGTATATTGAATTGGAATGTATTGAATGTATATTGATGCATACATTTCTGAGAACAATTCACAGAACCAAATGCCTAGATTCTCTTTGTAACGTCACCAAACCTGCCGCGGATCGAATCGCCCGTCCCAGTGAGCATGAGGCACTCTATATACTGCATATTTGTGAAAGGAAAAAATGGATACTCTCTCACACTCAAATATTATTTATTGATAGTACAGCATAATATATTATTAATTCGACAATATAATAATATAAGTCAATCTATCGCAATTCGACTAACGCATAATTTTATTGTATCTTCATTTTGACAAATCACATATCTTTCAAAATCTTGAAAAATTTAAATAGTTTTCACTCGAGAAAAGTGCTGCGCAAAGACTCGTAATATTCGTCGCGTCATTCAGTTGACAAAACTTGAATTTAACACAATGATGCATACTAAATGCTCGTTTTAAATAATAGTTCGAGCCCCTTTTAAATGATGCTAGCAACATTTAAAATACGTAGATATCAATAGATGAAATGGGACTATGCTAATTAAGTTTTATCTCTCAAATACCACATTAACTGTGTCTAGCATTGTTAAATGACAAAAGGGATTTAAATATAACAATTTTGGTTAAATTTTATATTCAATGTCATGAGAAGCAAAAACTCTTGGAATCAACTTAATTTGAAGCAGGTGCCATCACTCTACAAATATCAGCGAAGATTTAGATCTACATGAAAATTGCTGGATATATCAGAGAAATGCAGAACAGTTATGAACATCAGCATTGTTCTCCTATAATACCAAGTTGACTCCTACCACAGCTGTGGTCCTGCTGCAAGCATCATCACTTGCAGTGCATCTGGCCAGTTAGCCACAATTATTTATTATAGAAATCAATACAAACTTGAAAGATGAGAATGAAATCGAAAAATTCTTCAATGCTAGAGGGAATGTTCATATTTTCGATCAAACGTTACAAACAGTGAACGTCATTTTGGAGGAAGCGAAGTAAAAAACCTGCGTCTCACGAAGGAAAAACTAGGGGAAAAGGTTAGCGAGATGACAATAACTCTTTACAAATACAATGTTGAATGATCTTATAATCGAATTGTCCCAATTTCGATGTTGCAGTCAAAATGAATTCATTCGTGGATAGTGAAATAGGTTAAATATCACATATCATTAATGCATTTTCAGATGGATGGTCTTTATTTTCTCAAGTAGGCTGGATTAATAAGGCTAATAATACATTATGTCTAAATTCTTAATAATGGCAAGTCGCTATGGTCTTGCTCAATTGAGACCAAGAATAAGTTGAAAAACTTTGTTATAGGCGCGTACAATTAGCTGAAAGATAGGCACGTAGTATTCTTATATAAGCCCGAACACATCTCTGGTGATGCATGTACGCAACAATAGCTAAGGCTTCCTTGCAAACTTAATGCCGAGTCCTTCCAAGTTCATTTCAGCAAACACACCAAACACGATTGTATTTAATGACCATGTCCTATAAAAATACAAGCTGAGAATATTAACTCGCGCCGATGAACATTATCGGTAAATTTGAATCGGTATCGCCATAAATATTCTAAAAATTGCAGCTATTGAAATATTGAATACTGAAATATTGTCTCACATAAGTCGCAATCCGAGGAAGTTATTCAACAATCCTGTTCTTCGCACCCCATCCATTGAATGAACCGCACCCACCCAATCTGCTTCGGGACGATAGGCGCAAAGGAAGCTGGCCAAATGAGAGTCTCATGAGTCAAGACTTGAAACTAGAATAACATTGGAACGTATCTATAATATGAAAAAAATTCACTACAGGCATTGAGATTCAAGGTAAATAAATTCACTCTAGAAATAAAGTGCATCACTCAAAGTTAGGAATTAAAAATACCATATGTGTTTATAAACGATTATTACTCAATTATCTGAGATGATTTGTTATCAAACGTGAGTCGCGTGATTCACCAGTAGGTTACGGTGTCGGCCGGTGTGGGGTTTTCGACCTACTTTTCTACCTGCTTGAGTAACCTACATACCGATTGAATCTGTAACATTTCAATCCAAATGAGTCACTCTAACAACTGGATTCAATTATGAAAACGAATCCTGTTTTAGGGAAGAGAAGCGGCATTCACTCGGAAGTCGTGGTATAATGCACTAAATGTTTATTCAATGCCACCCAGTAAATCATCCCTTCAGGTCAACATTAATTCAAATTCACGAGCAGAGTTGACTACCTAGACTCCGTTAACTTGATATGAGCTGCGTAACTTACAAGAAAAAAGTGTCACGCGATCTGGGCCTATTTCTTTGGTGCCGACCCTTCTATTCTAAAAGTAAATCATTTTTCACCAACATTCTAGAGTTGTTTTAAAACTTAAGAAATAAATTAAATCATTTGGTACGGGCCAGGCATTTCCTTGAGCGTCAGCTATTGGTGCAACTATTATTCCTGTTATCTTATGGGTATAAATGAGTTGTAACAATGCATGGTTGCTTCAAGCCCCTTCAAATTCCATTATAAGATATGGTACAATTACCAAAAATGTTCGAAGTGAGTCTACCTATGCGAGAAACTGCTTACGAAGCTGCATGGGTTCTCTCTCTCATACTCAGCACGGCGGCAAGGTTGTCGCAGGATCGTAGCAAAGTGCACACCTTCCGTAATTATCGGCACACGAAAGGAGGTAGAAGCCGGAATTTCCGACTACCAGCCTAGCACAATCATAAGTCCCAGTAGCATTGATAATGCTCCCCATGGGCTCCATGCTCGGCATCCAACGCCAAACCATGTCTGCCCCTCGATGGATGTTCATCCAGAACAGAGGGCGGGCTATGAACAAACGAGTACAATAAGTTCAATATCTAACAATCTTTAGATGTACAGTATCCAATATATAGAATTTATTACGTTATACCCTGCTGATTTGTAATTTCAACCTCAAAGTTGGACCCAAGATCTAATTTTTATCATAACTCAAAATCCATGATGAGTTGTGTCGATTTTTCATCACTTGGCTCAAAATATATACCAGTGCGTTGGCCATCCTAACTGCCAGGCTGTAACTCACGGGTACCAAGCTGTGTGATGAGGCTGTAGTTGTAGTACAGTTCCCGTGAGGCCAACGGCAGACCTCGCGCCTCGCACCGAGTCTTCGCCTCGCAGAAGCCAACGGAGGTGTCAGCGCATTCCTCCACCTGTATTTATAAAAGAATAAAAGAAATAGTATTAATTTTGCAGTTAATGACTCATTTTCAGAGCTGGGCAGCAACCCACCTCCCACCATAACCCACCACCACCATAACCCACCACCCACCATAACCCACCACCACCATAACCCACCACCACCATAACCCACCATCATGGCTCGCGTGTAGGCGTCAGGGTCCTGAAGCTAAGGACGTCGTAACCCTTGCTCTTGTTGGTGAACTTGTCCCGCACGACCCTGGCCTTGACGAAGGAGGGGTAGCCGTTGAAGGTCCTCGTGAGCAGCTCATCCGTCACATCGTTGCCCAGGTCACCAGCAAACATGCGGTGGTCGTCTGATAACAATAAATACGAGTGAGGGGTTGTTACAAGGGGATACATTGGCTGTTGTTACACGGGGTAACAGGGACTTCTGTTACACGGGGTTACTGGAACTTCTGTAACACGGGGTAACTGGGACTTCTGTTACACGGGGTTACTGGGACTTCTGTAACACTGGGTAACAGGGACTTCTGTTACACGGGGTTACTGGGACTTCTGTTACACGGGATGGCAGTAAGTCAGACTAGGTTATCGTCCTTAAGGTACAATATCTGATACACGGGATGGCACCATCATCAGACTAGTTCATCGCCCTTAAGGTACAATATTGTACGTGTCTTTTTTGCTGGACTCGCACGACTCTGACAACCAAGTATAGCCGAGGATGGAGGAATGGATAGAATCATAAAAAGAAACAAAAATTGAAAAAAAGATGCGTGGTTGAATGGCTCCGTTAGGCATCTAAGAAATAATGATTTCATAAGAGAGACAAACGGGACAGTTGTGCTGTTGTGGGAGCTCAGCTTGAAGCAGCATCCAGCAACGCAGCAACTATTCACACAAAGGTAAGAGAATGAGGTCCAGCAAGAACAGGAGTTGCTCATAGGGACTGAATCGAAAAATATAGAACTTAGATCAGAGGACATGGAGAGCTACTAATGTAGATCACAGCCCAGCTTCTATACCAAAATTAGTGGGCACGGCAATAAGGTGGATAAAGATTACAGACCGGCTGAACTGATAGAAGAGGCAGTGGACCGCTCCGCAATATCCGACTGGAACCACGCAAATAACATGCAATTCAACAGCACCAAGAGATGCAAGAGCAAGCTACACCCTAGCAACTAGTTTCATCGTCACCCTACCGAGCAATGGATGTCAAAGAAATTGAAGAGAAGAAATTTGATCGCTTTCTTGGAGTGATGACGCAGAGCTGGGCAGGCAGCGCTACTTGGAAATGTAGCGGCGCTACCGCTACCGCTACATGCTCTAAATGTAGCGGGCGCTACCGCTACCGCTACATTGCCTTAAAAGTAGAGCCGCTACCGCTACCGCTACTGAAAATGTAGCGCACTACTGCCCACCTCAGCTCATTTTAATGAAAAAGTGCAAATAAAATCATTACGTAAACCGACCTATGAAACTTACAAGTGTATCATAAATAGATGCCCACCTTTTGGTTGAATTTATAAATAGAAATTAACCTAACTTGCACTCAATCAAAGCCAATAAACAATGAGCATGAGTTAAATCATGGCCCTATTGTCTGATTCTCATTAAGAAATTATATCAACTTTTACCAGACAGTATCCGTCGGCTGCCTGAGCGCAGCACGTGTCCCTCGGAGGCAGCGCGACGTCCAAGACGCGACGACGATTATTGTCTGTGAAAACAGACAAGACTTTGGGCAGGGCAATATCACGGTTACTGATGTAACTCTGTTACTGATGTAACTCTGTTACTGATGTAACTATGTTACTGATGTAACTCTGTTACTGATGTAACTCTGTTACTGATGTAACTCGGTTACTGATGTAACTCGGTTACTGATGTAACTCGGTTACTGATGTAACTCGGTTACTGATGTAACTCGGTTACTGATGTAACTCGGTTACTGATGTAACTCGGTTACTGATGTAACTGGGTTACTGATGTAACTCGGTTACTGATGTAACTGGGTTACTGATGTAACTCGGTTACTGATGTAACTCGGTTACTGATGTAACTGGGTTACTGATGTAACTCGGTTACTGCAGTTGTGAAACCTCGGTTACTGCTGTTAAAATACCTTGCTTACTATAAAGGTAGACTTTGGCTAACATACCTCTTGTGGGATTCATTTGTTTGTATTTTCAAATTTGGAGAATCGAAATAATGTTAGATATTTCGGGAGCCCAATAATTATTTGTGAGTTCTAAATTTTCGAGTGTAGCGCGTTTCGTAGCCAGTTTACCGCCCGTAGCTCTTATTTCCAGTCGAAATCGAATTTCAGGATGGCAAAATTTTAACGTTGCAAGTGACATTAATAAACTCGATGGTCAACTTTTGGGAGGCTTGAAAATTTGAGTGAAATAAAGTAAATAATTAGTGTAAATCAGTTTTGTATCCTCGACGACTGACTAATAATTATAACCAGATCTTAATTTTGGATTCAGATCGAAGCAGAAGAGTTTAACTCGGTGTGAGCAGCGGAATTGCGAACTGAGGTCGGGTAGATCCTGCATAACAATTCAAGATTCGACACCTCTGTTACTGCTGTTGTAATAACATTATTACTGCAGAAGTAATAAAACCATTTCGCAGCAGCAATACCATAGTTGCTGGAACTGTAATACCTCGGGTACTGAGGTGGCAGTGTCATTAATGCATTATTATTATTTTCTAGCGCATTTCGGTAGTCGGAAATATTTCGGAACTTGACGAAATATTCATTACGACCGATTTTTGAAATCATATCTTAATTAAGGATAGCCGGCATTTATGTTCAAAGTTGATCCCAAAGCCTAGTGCAGCCTAGCCTAGCGGAATGCAACAGACGAATCGTGTAATGCAACAGACGAATCATTAGTGCAAGAGAACAGACGAACCATGTAATGCAACAGACGAATCGAATAATGCAACAGATGAATCGTATGATGCAACAGGTGAATATTCGTCTGCTGAACATGTATAATGCATCAGACGAATCGTGCAGCAGACGAATCATAAAATAATTGATCAAGTTCCGCGTGGCGTGTGTTTGTAGTTGAACTGTCATGTGTTGATGACATTTTCATTTGCTGCAGCAGAGACTAGGCTTTGGCTCAACTTTGAACACAAATGCAAGCCAATTTATTGGACTTTGAACAAGTATGCCAGTCAATTAAGTCAGACTTTTATCGAGATATATGAAATGGATTTGGTCGCGTGAGCTTCTAGACCAGGTTTATATTTCGTCCAACTTTTAACGGGCAATGCACGAATGTGATAATTGGGCATCCAATTAGACTACTATTATTAGAATTTCCAATTCTTTTTCTGAGAAAAGAAATGCAGAATGAGAGAATGAAATGCGGGAGTATGCGGCGATTGGGAATTTTAAGTGTAGTAGTTTCCATTGAAGCGACCGTAGATATGTTAATCTGTAGCGGGCAATGGTATGCTTAGAAGTATTTCTGTAATGATATAAAATGTTATCGTTATATCTTGAGACATATTCATTATTAACTTGCGTACTGGAGACTTTTTATTTCCTTTATAGAGAAGATAACGTTCGTTAAGCCGAAATCTCAGACAACGACGTTCCTTGGCTCCAATATCTCCAATTATGAATTAATGTTTGTTATACTAATATGTTCGACAACAAATCGCATTACATGCATTTTGTTTCATTTTAATCTGTTTTAACATAAAGTACACGACAGAGTACTAAATTACAACTCTGTACAATATATTATCTCAGATAACTAATTAACCGCTGCTATATATACAGTAGTCAATAGCAGCAGTAACTCTTGCTTCGGACTTAAGCAGTGTTAATTAAACTCGTTGCCTCTGATCCCGCCACCCAGACGGCCAAACGTCGACCAAATAACAAGAATTGTTCGTACAATCGGAAACTAATCTAAAAGCTAAATGCCTAATCCATCTACAGAGTATCCAATCAAACTTGGGAACAAAATCGTGAGTTGTATTATAACAGGACGCAGGTCTGTTGCTCGAACAGAAGGGTGGACACTTACAAGTAATTTAAATACGTATCTGAATGTATGTGGCATACTGAGAGTAGGCAGAAGCGTTTACTCGCATCCATTTAAACGTATCCAAATATTTTTATTGCACCGGTTCGTGGTGCGCAACTCTGAGACATTTAAGTTAACTGATATAATAGACTATTTAACAGTAATTTCTCTCATGTATAATTTCACAGATATGAGCTAATATTCAACAGAAATTTGGGGTGCACACATCATTTGGGGTGCACAAATGCAAGCCAATCAATTGAACTTAGAACAAGAATGTTAGTCAATTGAGTAATACTTTTATATCGAGATATATAAAATAGATTTAGTTATGGAAGCTTCTGGACCATGTTTATAATTCGTACAACTTTTGACGGGCACCGCACGAAAGTGATAATTGGGGTTCCAATCGGAATACTTTTATATGAATTTACGATTCTTTTTCGGAGAAAAGAAATACGAAATGAGAGAAAGAAATGCGGGCGTACGTGGCGATTGGGAATTGTAAATGTTGTAGTGTGTCATTTCCCGTTGAAGCGGCCGCAGATATGCTAATCTGTAGGTACTGGACAAAGGTATGCTTAGAAAGTGTTTCTGTAATGAAGTAAAATGTTATCTTTATATTATAACACATATTCATTATTAACTTGCTTACTGCCGACTTATTATTTCCTTTACAGGGAAGATAACATTCGTAAAGCCGAAATCTCAGACAACGACCTCCAGTAGCTCTAATTATAAATTAATGTTTATTATACTAATATGTTGTATAAGAATGTTTATTATACTAATATGTTATACTAATCGCATTACATGAATTATGGTTCATGTTAATTTATATTGATATAAAGTACACGGCAACTCTGTACAGTATATTTTCTCAGATAACTAATTGACCGCTGCATGTCATTAGCAGCAGTCATGCAATTAGTCGATTGCCTCGGAATTAAGCAGTGTTAATTAAACTCGTTGCCTTTGATCCCGCGATCCAGACGACCAAACGTCGACCAAATAACCAACCATTGTTCGTACAATCGGGAACTAATCTAAAAGTTAAATACCTAATCCATCAGAAAAGTATCCAATCAAAACTCGTGCACAAAATCGTGAGTTGCATTTTAACAGGACGCAGGTCTGTCGCTTGAACAGAAGGGTGGACACTTTTCAGTAATTGTGAATACTTATCTGAATGTATTTGACATATTGAGAGTATAGGCAGAAGCTCTTATACTGGCATCCATTTCACCGTATCCCAAATGATTCTAATTACACTAACTGATATAATCTAATATTCAACAGAAATTATGAGTGGCGTGAGTGCATCGATAATTCAGCTAATTATGTAGCCTGACATTCCAAGGTTTTGGGCGTGGCCCCTTGCTGCGACCTCTGTGAGCTAAGCGTATCTTAGTTACCATTGATTTGTATGCCTTGACTCCCTTTCTGTGGTGGTAACGTACAATTGTTGGAGACCTTTTATATGTACGAGAATATACAAAGGTTTGGAAACGGTGGAACATACGTGGAAAAATAGAAGTACAAGAGAATGTTGAAATAGTGAAAGTTGAAATTTATTAGAATGGGTTTATATATGAGAGTAAACTAATGAATGAGACAAAGATTATACGAAACTGAAATGTAAATGGGAAATACAAATTATAAAAAATTTTGCCTTCTCCATAATTAAGCGCTGATTATTAGATTGAACAAAAGTGCATTTTTAAAAGCATCGTCATAATAATTTCTGCAGTACGATTACACCAATCAGACGGTGAGTTAACGTGATTGATCACTCGCAGCGACAGTGCATTCGTTAATTAATATGAAAGACGAGCTACACCGCACAATATCCTCAGGTGTAACCCATCACCCGGAAGGTATCCTCAGGTGTAGCCCATCACCCATACAATATCCTCAGGTGTAGCCCATCGCCCACACGATATCCTCAAGTATAGCCTATCACCCGTTCGATATCCTCAGGTGTAACCCATCACCCGTTCGATATCCTCAGGTGTAACCCATCACCCGCACTATATCCTCGGGTGTAACCCATTATCCACATTCAAGACCGATGTGTTCAACAAATTATCCGTCAAACCAAATTGGTGAGAGCGCATCGACAGCTCATAAGTTGATAAGATTCAATATAATTAAGTATATCGAAAGCTGAACAGTTGTTAAGAATAAGAACAATGAAATCGAATTATATCAAGACTTACCACCGTACGTGACGCCGACTGTGGTACAGAGAAGGCACCCGATGCTTGCGTTCAGATTGTAGAGCTGGCCTTCGAACTCACACATTTCTGAAGTCGAACAAATTGGTGAATGGTTTCATTACCTTTCATAGTATGTAAAATTTTAACAATTCTACATTTGAGTTCAACTAGGAACTGAACTAAGGCTGATTTCTACTGCGCTAAAAAAGAATAGTAATGAGCCGTGATATGGTAAGACCTTGTTTGTAGCGCAATCAGCATCCCAACTCATCTTTAATAAGTTAAGTAAATAATAAATCGAGCACTTAAAGAATGTGTGAGATATTCAGCTAGAAACATATTAATGACATAATAAAAACAAAACTGAATATTTGATAATATTATCTTACGCTGAATGCGTCCGTTGACCTGACATACGTTGAAGACGTCGGCGTACATGGAGTAGGGTAGCTTCGTCCCCGCCGCCACCAGCGACCCGTTCGCCAGCACGCAGCCTCGTAGTGGGAACATTGACACGTTAGTCTTCGTAAAAACATTACATTGATTTCTTCCACGTACAAATGTATAAATCAGCAAATAAATAACACCTTCAACGATTTTCAAGCGAATAATAATAACGCGCCGCACTCGCTTCAATGTTCACTGCACTCACCATCATCTTGGTAGAAGAGCTTGCAGTGAGATTGTTGTGTTCCTGAATCCGCTGGAAGATTAACAGAGACTTCATATCCCCAAAGAGAGCATTCCCCTCCCTCCTGCATGGGCGTGTAACAGGCTACGTAAACCCAGTCCAAAGTCGTGGCCCGGTTCATGCATTGTACGATGGAGCGGAGGATGTAACTGGAGTTTTGCACTGCAATCGTCGCGAGGAAAGTCGTGTTCACCGCCACCGACTTCCAAGCTTTGAAGCGTCCTTCACACTCCAGGATAAGGAGCAAGCAGCAGAATGTCGTCAAGAGTAATGATAAATAACCAAAAACGAAAAACTTTGATGATGGGGTCGAATTTTGACCGGGACTTGCATTCAGCGACCGCATAATTCAATTTTTTTTTTCTCTCAAGATGAACTAACCAGCAGCGCCTGCTACAGCATTTGCCACTGAGGTCTTTATCGACCGACACACAGCAACCGTCTTCTTCAGGGCCGAGAAAATAATTATAAATGGTGAAATACAGTACCTCAATAATAATTGCGCGTAGCATGCAAAGTACACGTAGCGGCACATTTCGCGTCTGCGATTGATTGTTTAGCTAGAAAAGTTTTCAGTGATTGGCTGACGGAGTTACGAACTCGTAGATATTTTGGGCGCTAATGCAGTGTAGAAATATAGCTTCTGTAAGCTACTGGGGCCGTACTATCAAAAATAATTACTAGTTCGTAACTCCGTCGGCCAATCACTAATAGCATTTCAAGCAAAGCCCACCAATCACGCAGACGAGAAATTGGTCGCTAAGTATACTTAGACCGCAGCGAGCAATTAATTAGTAGTTACGAGTACTTAGGTAGCTACAAGTACTGAGGTTGCTACCAGTATTTAGGTCGCTACATGTACCTAGTTGGCTACATGTGCTTAGGTCGCTACATGTACTTAACCGCTACGTGTAATTAAACCGCTACGTGTACTTGAGTTCTTGAAAGTACGGCCCTAACTGGACCGACCTCGGCGTCCCGCTCGTCTACCAACAGCGCGAGTGCCACACCGATCATCGGCCGACACGCAGTCCGACCACTCATGGCGTGACGGCAGCTCATCACCACAAGAAACTTTGAAGTTTTTAATTTTAACTTTGATGAAAAGGCTTATTCTTCCTCAGAAAGTCACATGCACGTGGTCATAAACGTTGAAAATGTTCTGATTAAAATATGAATATTTGACAGACGATACGAGCTGCGAGGGCTTACGAGGTTGGATTAATAGAAAATATTGTTTTTAGTTTTATTCATCTGAAATGAATATTTCAACGAATGAAATGATGACAATTATCGTCAAAACAACACTTCGTTTTGATGTGTAAGTTTGTAGTGAACATCTCAAAAATATATCATTTTATTTTGATATTAATTTATAAATAGGGCATGTTCAGGTTCAATAGTTAGCGTCTCGAAACTACTGGAATATTGCTAAGAAACCTTTACAAGTCAAGGTTCTAAATACATAGCGGACACAAATTCTAGGACAAAATTGCCGAGTAAATTAAGAAGAATATGTTTGTGCTGGAACTATGTTCATATAGTTCCAGCACTCACTGCATGAAGGGCGGCAGAGCATGACACCATTATTCAAAAATCTTTTGGTGGTCAAACTTAGTTCATTCAAATCGAATTACCAAGACTTACATTTGAGTGCGTCATTTAATGCACGCACGCAAGTCATATTACACAGCCCTCGTTTTTTAACGAACAGAACCTAAACTGGAATCGATAAAGTTAATATCAACACGGCAGCGCTGACGGATATTAAACTGATTGATATATATTTTTACACACCCTACCCTAAACCATTGCTCTTACCCTGGTTATAAAAAATGTACTAGTCATTATGCACATTCATTAATCATTCCAAATACTGAAGTAAACAAATAAAACATGCTTTCTTTTATTAACGGTCTGAAATTTCAACGACCCTTGTTTTCTGGACTAAGGTGTACGATTTTTCAACGAAAATTTCTCATATGTGTAAGTCCACTCTGCTTGTATCTAATATTCTCTTCCAGTATCTTTCTACCCCGGATATCGTGGCAGCGGAGGAATTGACTTTCAGAATACGATTGAGTTGTCGCAGATCGTATGCAGGAAACTGGTTACTCCAGAGTCCAGACAATTCGTTGTAACAGACTATTTCTCACACTCCAACAGAGACGACTTCTTTCAGCTCTTGGCTAACTCAGCTATCCATCCAATTATGGTTGATAAATTAGTACCTGGCTTGCCCAAGGTGTTGTTTATTGCAAACAAAAATATTTTTCGTGGGTCGGCGAGTCACTGTTAATTTTCGTGGAACTAACAGTGTGACCCTAGTGCTCTGAAAAACTGACCTGTAACCCCTCTCCCTAGTCGCCACTAACAGGATGGGCAATTAAAACAACAGCATGGCGAGCAGGCAGCTTGACTGAATACGACATTAAACAGCTAATGCCACGAGTGGGTTGATGATGGCAACCAAGATGTAAGACTGATGTAGGCTCCCATCATCATATGTCACGACTGTTGTGATAGAGTATTTGACAATGATTTGATGCCCTCACACTCATTAAATTGGTCTTTGTAGTCTCTACAATATTTAAAATTGTGACAAATGTAAGTTTGAGAGAGGCGAACGCTGTAGCTCGGCTACGTAACGAGCACAGAAAGCTAGACATCCTGTTGTCAATATAGCATGCCATCACTATATTCTTGCTATTATTGTTGTCAAGGATAATAATAAGCGTACGGTCTTAGTGCACGTTCTAATCTAGTGCAAATTGTGATGCATTATTATACACAGTTATTTCATTATTCACTTATCAGAGACGAGACGAAATCCAGCATGTAAAGGGAGTTGAAACCTAACCATGCTTAATTGAATAAAGTTTGATTGGAGAGAGGGTTACGACATGCTTTCTCATGCACACATAACTTATAGAATAAAATTAAAAATATCTCTTAGCTCGCCAAAAAGTTGAAATTAATTGATTTAAGCTCCTTACCAACTAACAATTTTGACATTATTCATGCACAAGGAGCACTCAATAATATAGACGTTATTAGGGTTACGGAAGATTTTTCGAGTCTGAGGAACACCTAATGATATATTGCCATTACTTGGGTCCAGAGGTGGGCCGTAGCGCGCTACATGTAGCGGTAGCGGCGATATATTTAAGGCAATGTAGCGGTAGCGCCCGCTACATATATAAGTAGCGATACGAGGTTTTGCCGCTACAGCGCTACCGCTACATTTATAGATAAAGCCTTTAGATTTTACTTAATAGTATTAAATAGTATTTAAAAACCAGCATGATACATACATAATATAAATTACAGAATAAAGCTGAACGAAAGATTTCGGTGTAATGTTGTCAACCTCAGCCTGTCAACATGTTAGTTGTTACTTGTTAAGTTGTTACCAGTTACGTACCATTTACAGGGATTTTTTTCAGTTTGCTTACAGTTATTTTTATGTTTCACCTTCCCTACATGGATGTCTACTTTAAGCTACCAATCTCAAAAATAATCCACATATATATAAAAATAAAAGACTGATTTTTTATGTATATGTGTATAATTTTTGAGATGGGTAGATTAAAGTAGACATCCATTTAGGGAAGGTAAAACATATAAATAACTGTAACTTTTATTTACTGTATCTAACCCGTACTAGTTCGGTTAGGTTAATTGCAATAAAGTTGCATTGATATGTTTTGAAAATGTTTTATTATCATTAAATGTTTATGAGTAAATAACAATAGCAGAACAATAAATATTTAGAGATTTCCAATAATTTTGGCCATTTTAGCGGCTAATGTAGCGGCGCTACGTTTTACTGGAGCGGTAGCGTTAGCGCTCGCTACAATCTAGTGGGTGTAGCGGTAGCGGTAGCGCCCGCTACATTTAGAGCACGTAGCGGTAGCGGCCGCTACATTTCAAAGTAGCGCTGCCCAGCTCTGCTTGGGTCCAAGCTGAACCCAATAATATTTGATTTTTTAAGCCCGGGTAGAACCCAATAATATCTTATCTTTTGACCCGGAAGAGTATCCAATATTTTTTACATTATTTAAGCGCAAAGAACACTCAATAATGTTGTGATTTTTCCAGTCCGAAGAGCGCCCAGTATAATTTGATTTATTTAAGCCTGAGGAGAGCCCAATAATTTTAACATTAATAAAGTGAATGAGAACCCAATCATATTGACATAATTTGAACCCGGGTAAAGCGCAATAATATTGACATTATTTGAACAGAAGGAGCAGCAAATAATATAAAGTTTATTTGAGTGCAAGGAGTTGCTTCTCTGCCACCTTCTTCTGAATGACGTCGAGGTTGCGGTCGCGCCATTGGCTCTTGCGCAGCTTGATGGGCCGCGGCCCCACGTAGCGCCCTGCACACCCAGCATGTGTTTTACATACTTTATATGCAGCGGGTGATGAGAAAAATATATCTGTCTTAAATATGCGTTGTGTGATGAGACAATTATACACATTTTCTACGTGTCGTTAATGGCAAAAACATGCGTGTTGTGTGATGAGACACACATGCGTGTCTTTTATGGTTGTATGTGTTGTGTGGTAAGACAAACATGCGTGTCTTTTATCAGTGTGGTGAAATGAGACACAAATACGTGTTTTTGTGCGTGTCGTGTGATGAGACAAAAATGCCGAATATATTTTCGATCATGACGTTTAAATACCTGTACATTTATCAACCACATATTATACCTTGAATTAATTTTCATAGATATGGTGTATATGTATTCAATAAGGAAGCCAGGTATATAGATTATATTGATCTTTTTTTGTGATACTGTATTCAAATGGACCGTGTGTATTTTAATAATAGGCGTTTTAGTTTATAGGTTTAAGAAAGAACATCAATAAATAAGGAAGCTTTAGCCAGAGTTACCGAACACTTTTAACACCAACCATAACCCACCACCACCATAACCCACTACCCACCATAACTCACCACCCACCATGACCCACCACCCACCATAACCCACCATCCATAATAACTCACCACCCCCATAACCCACCACCACCATAATCCACCACCCACCATAACCCACCACCACCATAACCCACCAGTCATCTTCATGGCCCGCGTGTAGGCGTCAGGGTCGTGAAGCTAAGGACGCCGTAACCCTTGCTCTTGGTGAACTTATCCCGCACGACCCTGGCCTTGACGAAGGAGGGGTAGCCGTTGAAGGTCCTCGTGAGCAGCTCATCCGTCACATCGTTGCCCAGGTCACCGGCAGACATGCGGTAGTCGTCTGATAATAAATAAGAGTGTGGGTTGTTACACGGGGATACATTGACTGCTGTTACACGGGGATACATTGACTGTTGTTACACGGGGTAACAGGGACTTCTGCT